ACAGTTTCAGAGTTCCAGTCACCAAGCACTCAACAGCGCAGAGTTCAGCAACCCAATTCCAGCATCGTCTAAGGTAGGTGACTCTCTTCTCTCCCTCTCTCTCTCTCCCTCTCTACTTGAGAATCTTGACTCTGAATACATCCGCTATCACCTGACTCTATCTCCCACTACTAGCAATGCGGCTATTGTTACGGACTCCGCCAGGGCTCGATCCCTGATCTATCTTTTTGCTGTTTCGGCTGCATCCCGTTTTCGGCCTGGCACCCTTTTTCCAAATCCCTCCTTTGGTACCGCAGGATTTTGGACAACTGGCACCATGCTGCAATTCGCGCGCCACTTTCAAATACCGCATTTTTTCAGTTCTGCCCTCGGGGCCTTTGCAGAAATGCCCCTGGTACCATACGTGTCACCGGTACTTATACCGGCTCCCCGTACGGTACGGGGACCAGTCTCGCACCAGTTTTCTGCTGCTGTACTCGTACTCACTGTGACTTGCAGTTTCGACATTCGGAATCCAAGACTTCGACTTTATGCCTTGCCACTGTGTCTGCGTCCGACCCTCAGTCGTGTCGAGTGAGTGAGTGTGTGTGTGTGCTCTCACTCTCTCCCTCTCTCTCTCCTCCCCCTCGGCTCTCCCTCAGCCTCACGCCCGTCACACTGGCATCGGAGCGGTTCGAACCCGCCCGACCCACCCTGCTTCGTCGCCATCACCTGGCCATCATCATCATCATCATCGTGATCGTCGTCCTAGTGCCACGTCATCACCGTCATCGTCGCGATCGTCGTCGTCGTGCCACGTCATCATCGTCACCATCGCCATCGTCGTCATCGTGCCACGTCACCATCGCCGTGCCTGTCGTCCTCGTCGCCACACCGTGCCATCCTCGTCATCGTCGTTGCTACCCCGCGCAGATAAGTAAGCGACGACAATTTTTTTATTTTTTATTTTTCTTTTCTTCTTCTTCGATTCTTCTTCTTCTTCTTCTCCTTTTCATCTTGGTCTTCTTCTTTTCATCATCTTCTTTTTCTTCCTCCTCTTCTTCTTCTTTTTTTTTTATCTTCTTCTTCTTCTTCT